TGGGGGCAAGTGAGCGCAGCAGTCAGCAGTGATGACGGGATCGTGGCATGCACATGCATGCACACACACATGTACACACGTGCACGTACACACCCACGATTCACTCCCCAAGAGACACTGAGCTTCTGCTCTGCTGGTGACAGGTCTGACTCTCAGGTGTAATAATGAAAGTGAAGAAGAAAAACCATCCTCCCGAGGAACGCAGATTCCAGTGGAGAAGCGACGCTAAACTGATAATTTGAGAATGTGACACTCCGTGAGCCGTTCACTGTTGTGCCGCGTTCAGCCGCTCATCATGTCGACTCTTTGACCCCACGGACAGTAGCCCACCAGGCCCCTCTGTCCATGGGGCTCCCCAGCAAGGATACCGGAGTGGGTTGCCGTTTCCTTCTCCAGTGTGCTTTTTACACCAGGATCTGAAGCTGTTATCAAAAGGCCGAGATCTGAAGCTGACTTTATTTTAGGGGAAGGTCAGAGAAGACAGTGTTGAGGCCCCAGGCTGAGTAGGGGTCTGACAGGATCACACCGAGGGCAGCAGTGATGCGGGGCTGGCACGGGACCTCCATGAACGGTGCGGGCGACAGAGCCGGTAAGCAGGCCAGCTGATACCTTGTGGGACAACATCCTGGAGGTTGTGCCGAGGACTTACATTTACAGTTTCATTTATGCTTTTTCACCAAAATCCTACAGGGAAAATTATGCAGCAGTTAAGCAAAATGGTGACCGTGAGGTCACATAAGGTCAATTACAGTGTTATAGTGAGAATTTTCCAGAATAATATTGAGCCTTCAGTTTTATAATGGAGCCACAAGCAGTCAAACATTTCAGACATGTTATCAGACATGTCCAGAACTTTTGCCACAAGCACCTTTGCCACAGCATTTTCAGTGCGTGACTAACTGGCCATAAACCAATCATGCAGGAGAGATTAAAGCACTGGTGACCGTCTGTCTGACTCTCTGGTTTCGCTTCTCCATCGACACACTGCCTTGTTTTCACATGACACAAGCCAAAGCCCTCATAGTGATCTACACCGTGGCAGACAGGCGGGGCAGCCCTGAGACAGTGGACGACAACCGTGCACGGCAGCCGGGCAGAAAACGGGAGTAAAGTTACCGGAATGAGAGCGCAGAGCCGCACTGCATCCTCTACCAGAAAATGATGACACATCGCTCTGCAAATCCGCTGGTGATCCGAAGGAGCAGAGTTGTCACGGGGATGTGTGACAAGTGACAGTGAACCAAGAGTGCACAGCAGGGCTCGGGTACAAACCACGTCCCTGTCCTGGGAAACCGATAGCCCTCCTAGTAAAGAGAGAATATTAGCAAAAGAAGAAAAAGTGCAATGCTGAATGAGAAGATGAATCAACAAGTAAAAAAAAGTATAAAATACTACAAAGGAAAGACGTGGAAGGCAACCCACAAAATAAAATTGGTCATTTATACATGATTGCCATGACTCTACATGCATTTTAAATTATTCAAATATTTTGTATTTCACAATAAAAACTTTTTATTTTTTGTTATTCATTTCACATTATGTGCCTTTAAATGTAACTTTTAATTTTTGGTTATTTAATCTTTTATAGCAAAATTGCCTTATAGTCAATTAGATATGCAAAATGCTTGCAGCAAAAACATAAACAGTAAAAGTTCATAGAACCATCAACAGGAGACTATGGTGTAAAATGTACAGATGTCTTTTCAGTGCTCCCAGAAACCTTAATATCTATAAAAACCCTTCCTTTATAGTATTTCATGATTTCTTAAAACTGTGAGTACTGAGTAAATTATGTCATTGTATTTCCCCATATGATTTAGTGCTTTCTGGGTTCAAACTAGCAAGTGTGACCTGCGTTTCATCAGAAATTGGTGTAAATCCAACATTTCTCTGGACTTGCCATTTCCTACAAATTAGCAATGGCTTCTGGACATCAAACGCCTTCCTCACTGGAGAACTCTGTTTTAGGTCTGCTAATCAGTGATCTGGGAGCATACCTGTGGTTAGAACTTTCTCTCTGCTTTTTTTAATCAGGTCTGTCCACGGTGGCCTGGGGCAGTACTGATTTCATGCAGGTAACGACACCTGCGCTGTCTCTGGCCAGGTTGTAGATGGAACATCTAGACCACTGAGGCGCAACATCAGCCCTGGGTTCGGGTTCCAGTGGGTCCTTGCTACTGAGTGATGGATGTGGGCCTTCCTAGAAGAGTGGGTAGCAGGCAGGGGTTGAAACCTTGAGTCTGGCCAGCCAAGTGCTGGCAGGCCCCCAGGGGGACAGTGCATGTGGAGTCGGCCTGTGTACCGCCGTCCAGGTCACTTAACACAGCAGCTCCCAGCGTGGGCTCTGACCCCCATCCTGATGCTCCAGTGGGACATTCAAATGTCCAGCCTCTTGATGGACCTGTGCAAAGAGCACACGTGGGACAGGGCACAGATATCCCTACTTCCTCAGCAACACTCCAGCAGACTTTGATGAAAGTTCACCTCGTGTACTGTGCATGACTCTCCAACTCGAGTTCCTGCTGCTGAGCTAAAATAGATTCCACACCTCTCCAGAGCACAAGAGCCATAAATCTATAGCCAAACAGACGTCAGTTGACTGATGTTGGCAACTGGAGCCCTGGAATAGACTCTGCTACGAACGGTTCAAACTGGAAACCCTGTCTCGTGCTGGGGAACACGACGCCCTCTCCATGTGGCCATTACAGCCTCACCCGCTTGGGTGGCTTCCAGCACAATGATGGCTCCTACCAGTTCCAGAAGTTCAGTTTCCTTCCTCTTCTGTTGAAGAAATTCTGTCAGAAACCTTGAGGTCAACACCTTATTTGTTTCATCTTCGTAAATAATCATCTGGACAGGTTATGCTTATGCTACAGTGAAAGATCAATTTGTGGTCCTTTTTCTGGCCATCATAGGAAATTGCTTGAATATTAAAATAAATTACGTGACAGTAGCAGGCTTCCTACTCCGCAAGTCTGCACTACATTTAAATTTATGGTTTGGCTGTTGACTTTGCTAAGATCTGCAGAACATTTTCCAAAAGGGAGATACTGTAGATTTTTTAGAAGTGAAATTAACTTTTATGATGTGGGCATGATGAGAAAGTCAGGAAGTATCTGGGAATAAAATACTCTTCAGAACCAGAGCACCATATATGAAAACACACGTTTGAAAGCACTGGACGTCTGAAAGCAAACAGCATTAATGCCACGTTCACAGGATGTGTACTGCCTCTCACAAAATGGAAACAAGCCAAGCAGCTCTTTCACAATCTTGATGCAGAATTCA